ACGTTGGCCGCCTACAACACTGCTACCGCCCCCACACGTGGTTCAAAATGCTTCGCTTTCACAGGTTCCGTGCCAGCACTATCGACGGTCTTTTCGGCGACTTCCGACTCGTTTGTTTCGCTCCAGCTCTCTCAACGGCTCATTTTGGGTTCACTATCCCGTTGGATCGCGCCATTGGTCTCGACGATACGAGGCGACTGAGTGTGGAGACATCGGGTTTTCTCATGGATCCTGCCTTATGATCGTGTGTGTGGTCTTCATAGATGGTCCTTTCAAGAGATAAAGACCATTTTTGAACGCTATTTATAATATTTATGCTCTTCTAAGATTTAATCATATTTTGAAGATTATTAGATATTAACATATTAGATTCAATAGTTTTTGATACACTTCACATTATTTGATTTCAAGAAAATGAAAATTGAAAGAAATAATATCTGTCGGTTAATTGTACTCTTCATTGTATAATGTACTTCTGTACCTTTATCTGTAAAAGATCTCTGTTTGCATTTGAAAATTTTGATCTCTAGATTTCATTTTCATAAAAATTTTATCAGTTATTAAACAAATATAAAGTGATAGATTTCACCTTTGAAAAGCGGTAAACATTTATATACACTGACCTGTGCAGAATAATTTGAAGGTGAATTTGAATTTGGTAAGCTAATGCAGAAGATTATTTCACTCTTATATAGCAGAGGGAAAAATACTCATAATGCAACCGGCAACATCGCAACTTACAAGCACAGCTGACATCAAGCAAATAATGTTTCTGTTAATGCTTGAAGTCAGAGTTTACGTCCAGTTTTAAACCCAGAGCTCTAAATTTCGAAGTGGCGTGATGGTATGAAAACAAATATTCAACTATTGCACTTGTAATAAAATGTTATAGATTCAAAATGTGGCTTCCATTTAATATTCAACACATAGTTTGATTGTGGTAGGACCTGATCTTTGGTTAGTTTTTGTAAAAATACAATATTTTGTTAAAAAAATCTCGGTGGTTTCTGCAGAAATAATGTGGAACTCCATAATTGTCATACAACATGGCACCGTGTGATAACACACCACTAATCATGTTGACCATGTTACTTGTTTTACTTAATATCCTGTTGAAGACACTGAAGATAAGGTAAAATACTTCGAAATATGTTTGTTTCTGTAATGCTGTAATTGACGAACAGTTAATTCTGTTTGTGGAAGATCATTTATTTTTCTTCCCGTTGTATTACACAAATTTGTTTTTTGTAACTTTTATATTTTACCCACATCTTCCATATTTAACAACTTACGTGTCGGTGGTTATTGCACTGTTATCGCACATGCATTATTTAAATATCTAGTTTTTTCAACCATTCTAAAGGCTTGACTTAGGTACAGTAAAAAAGAGCGTTACGTTCACCGAGCGTAGAACCAATAATCCGGTCATGACGCCTCGTGCTAAAATTCTAAGACGATTCTCTCAGCTCCCTTTCCACTCCCTATCCATCCCCTCCCCCAAGCCATTCTCTGCCGTCGCCTCGCCCCCCTCTCACGGGCGTCCGCGGTGGCGCATAATTGCTCCTTCCGCGCGTCACCTCCTTCCTCTCTTCCGCGGCGGCGCGAGCAGCAATCCGCCGCCAGCGCCACGCCGCGTCGCGGGCAGATTGTAAAATAACACCCGCGCCCCGCCCTCTCCCGGCTCCACCCCGTCCTCGTCCCGGGGCCGCGGGAAAGGCGGAGCCAGTCGCGACGTCGGCGTCGTAAAAACGAAGCGTGTACTTGTCGCGGCTAACAATGTCGCCGCCCGTGCCGGGGAGCGCGTAAAGTAGACCGCGTGGGCGGAGGCGGGGAGGAGGTGCGACGGGAAGGATCAGAAGCGAGTTTGGATGAAGGGCCAGGGAGGTGACGGTGGACGGGGGAGGAAGGATCAGTGGCGAGAACTCCACGAGGAGGGAGGCGGAGGGGCAGTTGGGCGAAGTTGTAAGGGTGGGGATAAGGACAGAAAAGGATCACAGGCGAGGGTGGGTGAAAGGGGCAGGGCAGTGACGGTAGAGGATGCGGGGGTGGAGACAGAAGGGTTCAGTGGCAAGGACGGATGAAGTTGTGAGGGGTGAGGTAGAAACGCGGACGGGAGCAGTACCGAGGGTGAGGATAGGGAAAGGAAGAATAACGGGCGAGGATGGGTGAAGGGACAGGGCGATGACAGTAGAGTCGGAGATGGAGACGGAGAGATCAGAGGGGAGTGTGGATGAAGGGATCGGGGGCGGTGACGGAGAAACTCAGAGAAGATGGATGAGTGAGGAGGGCTAAGGCGGAGGCGCGGTATCAACCAGAATGGTGAAGGGGCAGGCGGTCACCGGATAGTGAGGCGGGGGAAACTGAGGCGAATGATTCGCGAGGGCGCGGTTTGGAGGATGAAGAGCTCGTGGGTGCTGTGTAGGAGGGTCGGGGAGACGGATACGCACGAATGATCATAGAGGTGTGAGATGAATGGGGGATGGTGGGGCGATGGAGGCAGTTGAAATATTAAAGGCGAGGATGAAAGAAGCGATGAGATCCGAGGTAAAAACGCATGCGGCTGCAGTAGCGATGGTGTACCATTGATAACAGTAAATAGGGAGCTTATTGCTGAAACGGGAGGCGAAGGCAGAGGCAAGATCAGAAACTGTTTGTTTGTTAAATAAGAGCGGAGCGGAGGCGCAGGGAAGGCGGAATGAGTAACAAAGTGTGACGAGGATTAAAAGAAAGAATCACAGATATCACATTCGATGAAATGTAGCAGGTGGGGACAGGGAATGGGGCGGCCACATAGATGTAATCGCAGTGCAAAGGATTGAAGGGGAGCGGGTAAGGGGAGAGGCGGAGGATAAGAAGCGACCATGGATGAAATGGCAGGGAGGGTTTTAGGAGCGGCAGGGGGAAGGGAGGCGGACACGGGGGTGGGGATGGAGCAGTGTCGGGGATGTGAACGCGAGGCGTGGAGGGCTGAATAAGGATCACAGGCGAGGGCGGATAAAGCGGTGGAGGCGTCGGTAGAAATAAGGACCATTGTGTGAGTTGAGGCGGTACACAGAAGCTCGCACGATGTACTCACACGATGTGGGTGGGGATGTGGATGCGGCAGTGAGAACGGAGATGGGCCTGGGGCGTGGCTTCGTTGAGCAGAGGTACCGAAAAAATTTTGCATAAAGGTGCGAGAATTTGAGTTGGAGATGAGGAGGAGGCAGAGTGGGAAAAGGGTGTGAGGAACAACGGGATGAAGATGTGAAAATGACGTTGAAGAGGAAGAGGCGATGGTCGATAGGTGTGCTAACTCGGTCGAGGACAACTGATGGTTGATGAGTTACGAAAATAGGATGGAAAAGTCATGATAATATTTGAATAGAGAATGAGGCGCAGAGTATAGAAAAGGTTGATAACAAACCACAATAAAGGAATTATACAAAAACATTTCCAACCGGGAATCGAGTGTGTAAAAGAAATATTGAAGAATTGACAAGGTATAACACGCGGCAGAAGCTGAAACGACGCTTCTAGCAGGAAAATGGGCGTCCGCGATGGCGAGAAAAAGTGAAATTTGGTGGGCAGTTGAGTATGTGGCGAGATGGTATTCCTACGAGCGGAAAGATCTCAGCTTCCCTTTGCAACCCTTCTCGCTCCCTTCCCTTCCCTCATTCTCTTCTGGGAAACCTGGCAGGTAGACATGTCACCGCAAGCCGAATCCTACTTTCTGGTAGGAAAGGACCACCACTATAACATAATACAACTATACTTATGCTTTACTATACTTATGGGATTTACGACTATTGCAAACGACACGCCAGGAAACATCATATCAATCAAACTGATAAGAACGACAAAAGGATGCAGTGCTTCATCATGTAAGAAGCAGTCACAGTTTTCGCTTTTTGTAATGAAAAATGTAAATGCAGAATTGTTAGATATTTTCAAAAGCGCGAGTAACAATGTTACCAGATAACATTAAATTTTTACATATTTTAATTGTTTTATGTAAGCTTGAATTTTGTATGATTTAGGTTTTTAAGTAATACTTATTTTGTGTGCTCCACATCTTTATTCGCACGTTCGGCGACGCGTGGCATTGTTACGTGCCACAAATGACACCGCCTGCACATCCAGCACTACTCTGTAGTGCTGGTATAAGTCGCTTTAACCCCCATCGTTTTAACAGCGTGTTGAATGGAACACCGGTCGTCATCTGGGACTAATAAACTTTTGTAACTGTTCCCTTGGGTATCCATGAAAAAGATAGCTCTGCTGTTGTGGATTAGTGCCTTTTTGATCTACGTACACTGGCTCTTGTTTTCCCTTTTTGTACTACGTTCATTATAAACTGATTTAACTAAGATCAAATAACCAATTTTGTTATCGATATTAAAAAACAATACAATAAAAATATGTTTTATTTGATCATTTTATTTCCTTTCACAACAGCTTTCAAACAGTGCTGTTGGTTGACTTATACGAGAATGATTTCTTCTATAATCTTACTTAGATGACTGAAAATGAACACATGTTTTTGTTTTCTAAAAAAAGGTCATACTAAATAAATTTATCTCAAATATTTATTCTGCGTCAATTTTACTGACACACGCAGGATAGAGGTATTTGTGTAAGACATCATAACTTTTATTCTTGTTTCACAAAATACGTAGGTTTATTCCGCTCACTTTCCGTCAGCAATGAAAGTATTCCGTCTGACACGGAGTGCTCCTGAGACCTCCGCTGGGGCGCCACGTCTCTTGCGTGCACGCATGAAGGGTGTGACATTTAAGCTCGGCGGCGGCAGCGGCGACGGGATGGTGGG